GAGTTGTTGACATCTTTGTCCTTGTTCTCGTCATCATATAAAAGAAGCAGATCAACATTCTTTGCTTCAGTACTTCAGAATATCGCAATTTCGCTCCAGCATTTTAAAATAAAAACACGCGCCTCTTTTTTGCTTTCATTTGCTGATAAAAAATATTCTTCTCATAAATATATTCACTAACTAATCTACAATTGTTCACAAAATGTTCTTCAGATTTCTTACGATACAATGGCAAATTTGTGGTTTATTCAAATAGCTCTAATAAGCAGTCTTGTATTAGTGACGGATTGTTACTATCGAATGGAGCTGAAAATCGTTTATGATGCATTCACTGCAAGTTTTTGAATCTTTGCTAATTTTATACGAGACATCATTTTTTTGATGATGAAAGTAATTTCCACTTTTTAGCGCATCAGCGGTTATTATTTGCCGATAAAAATTGGTGCTCTGGAAGAATCTTTCAATGTTCTGCTTGATACCGTCACACCATTACTTTGGGTTCCAGGACCAGAATGTAGGTGTGTCAGTTTGACTAAGTTTCAAATTTTTTTTACACAGATCAGTGAAGAGATCAGTGACTAAATACTCACTTGAAATGCGATAAATTTAGCATAAGACTGCATTACTGAAATAATTGGAACGATTTAGACATCCTATTTGCAATGGGAAACCGCAGTATACAGAGCGGTCGTCAGGTTTGTCTAAAAAAGTTTACTCTCGTACGAGACAGTATATTTACGATGAAACAAGAGAGACAATAGCGCGTGAACATCATAATGTCATTACGGTATGCTTCTCTCTTTTACAACTGCTTAAAATGAGTGCATTGAGGAAGGAATAACCGTAAAGCAATGATTTTTGCTATTTAAGATGAATCAAATGAATGACGAAGAACTAAAAGTCAAGAATGCGGCCTTTGGTACACCTTCTGTTTTGAAATGGGATGATGCAGTAATGTACTACCGAATAGATGGAGTTCTCGGTTTGTCATCTTTAAATATCAGTGATACTCGGCGTGACAATCCAATCCACAAAGTATTACGAAGTTCATCAATTGATCCAATTATTACCATCGCTCTACCACCAAGAGTAATATTCTGAGAGCAATCTTTTTTCATTAATCAGCTCATTCTTATATCCATTTCCAGAAAACATTTGAATCTACTTTCAGCAAGCACATCTGATCTAAAGAAATGAAAATAAACTCAATTTGCAGTTTACTTTCTCGTTGAATATGAAAAGATTTCTCTTACAAATAAATGAATGTGCAATGAATTAGCTTATTTGCATTTGCATTACGGATGATTTACGGAAAAATTTTTTTGTAGAAAAAAGGATTGTTTCAGCATTTATTTGTATTATTTTGTAATTTACGCAAAATGTTTGCGTAATTTGCTGTAATT